AAGAAGGCTACATTTCCTTATCATGGGTGGTGGATAAGGAAGAGGCAGCTGGTGGCAGAGGAGGCCATGAGAATGTAAGCTCCTAGGACCTGCAGAAGTCTAGACCATGTGCACAGTTAGAAGCAGAGAGCCGCGTGTATACACAGTGATAAGCTATGTCTTTACATACCGCAGAGTGAAAAAGACAGGAAATAGGTCTAGACACACACATAAATTTATACATCTGTATCTACGTACATCACTTATGTACATAGATGCCACTTATGCAAAATGAGTGTGCACACATACAAACAGCAATACAGATTTTACCAACATTAATAGGGAGAGAGGGGACTCAAATAGATTTAAAGAGGTGCCTGTGGAGTAACTTCTCTGACATTGGCCATAGCAACAACTTTCTAGATATGTCCCCGAAGCAAGGGAAACAAAAGAAAAAACAAAGTATTGGAAATACATCAATATAAAAAGCTTCTGCACAGCGAAGGAAACAAGCAACAAAACTAAAAGACAACCTAGGGAATGGGAGAAGATATTTGCAAATGATGTATCCGATAAAGGATGAGTATCCAAAATATATAAAGAACTGATACAACTCATCATCCAAAAAAAAACAAATAATCCAATTTAAAAATGGGCAGAAGACATGAATAGACATTTTTCCAAAGAAGACATCCAGATGGCCAACAGACACATGAAAGGATGCTCAACATCACTCATCATCAGGGAAATGCAAATCAACACCTCAGTGAGATATCACCTCACCTGTCAGAATGGCTACAATCAACAACATGGGAAAAAAGTATTGGTGAGGATGCAGAGAAAGGGCAACCCTCGTGCACTGTTGATGGGAAAGCAAACTGGTGCAGCCACTGTGGAAAACAGTGTGGAGGGTCCTGGATAAATTAAAAATAGAACTACCTTATGATGCAGTAATTGCACTACTGGGTATTTACTCAGAAAATACAAAAACACTAATTCAAAGGGATGCATGCACCCCTGTGTTTATAGCAGCATTGTTTACAGTAGCCAAGATATGGAAGCAGCCCCTGTGTCCGTGGACTGATGAATGGATAAAGAAGATGTGGTATGTACACAACGGAATATTACTCAACCAAAAAAGGAACAAAATCTTGCCATTAAAGAGTCCCATCTGAAAACCTAAGATGGGCAGAGAGAAAGTTCTGCCTTCCCTACAGCGTCCTATGTTCAAGATGGCAGGAGCCGTCAATGGCTAAACATTGCTCAACGCTTGGTTCTTAGAAAGGTACCAACCAACCAAAGAAATCTCAATCTTCGAGGATCCTACCGGAGTGAGATTTTATTGGCTACGTGTTCAGTTCATTGGCCCGTCGACAAAGGTTTCCTGAGCTTGTCTGGCATTCCAGGCCCCGCTCCAGACCCAAGTCCCTGCTGCCGGACTTTCCTTCTGGCTGGCCCGCAGGGAAAGGACGCGGTGAACAAAGTATACAGAACATCCTGCTGGGATGAGTGCTCAGAAGGAAACTGAGCCTGGGAAAGGAGGGGGTGGGGCTGTGACCTGAGCAAGGTCATCGGGGCGTGCTCAGGAAGCAACACGTTTGATCCGGACCCACAGGGCATGGGCGCTGCCCCTCAGCCGCAGGGGATGGAGCGCAGGCGCAAGCCCCCTAAGGGGGCTCGGGTGCACCCCTGAGGAGGGCTACGGAGACGTGGGATAAGGGTGTGGGGTGGCTCTGGTGTGGGCAGATAGGGTGGGATCCCCAGAAAAGGAAAGAAAGATGAGACACGGCTTTCTCAACATGAGAGGGGTCATTTTTGGCCGCTAGCCTGCCCGGCGCTACTTGCCAGAGCACATTTCTAGTGGAACTGCCTGGGATATGTTAAATCCCGGAAAAACAGACCTCAGCAGCTCATGATTTTAAGGGAACAGAAGAATGTAGGAATAGACAGCCACCAACAGGCCAGGAGAGGGAACGGCTTTCTGGGGGTGGCAGGAGGGGACGGGGAGAGTCCTGAGCCAGTGGTCTAGGAGGGCCCAAGCAGGGGTCACTAGGAGATGGGAGGAAGGGAGTCGGGGAAGACCCTGCACAAGGCAGACAGGAAAGTCAGAGGCCCGAGCACCAGAGGACGGAGGTGCTCTGACCGGAGGCAGCAGGATTATGGAAGGAGATCGGGAAGTCTGTTCTGACCGTGTCCAGTTTGCAAAGCCATTTAGAGATTATCAGATTTGTCTGAGACCTGTGAAGAGGCAATGAGCTCGCTGGGCATTATTCCTCCAGCGCAACCCTGGGCCCTGCGTTTGATTCACTGGGGACCTGTCCCGCGGGTGTAGGCAGGTGGATCAGCTATCCCCAGTGATCACAGTCGAGGGCCCCGCTGGATCTATCACCCAGCAGACTGACCCTGACTCTTCTCTGCTAAGCTGCTCACATACACCCAGCTTTGCAAATGCCTCTGCTCTGGTTCCAACACCTGCCCGCTCTCTTAAGGAGCTAATGAGTTCAATCAAATCCTCGACACATGTTCATTTACTTTGCCTAGAGCATCGCGACCTGGAGATGCTGAGGGTGTGGCTGGACACGTGAGCCGCTGCCAGGACAGGTGAGGCTCAGTTCTGAAGCCGAGGGCTGCCAGTCAGCCTACAGGGAGTACCAACAGCCACAAGACAGGGTGACTGCACCATGTCATCTGATTTTTACAACCGGTCCTCTTAGTAATGTTCATCTCCGTCCTACAGATGAGGGACCCGAAGCAGGGCTGGTGCAGTCACTTCCCCAAGGCCCCAGGACTGGGATCTGAATGCAGAACCTTCACTCTGAACCAGTGGTTCTGCAGGTGGGGACATCTGGCCAAGACGGGGACAGCCACAACTCGGTGGGGGGGTTGCTCCTGGCATCCGATGGGTGGGGCTGGGGCTGCTGTGAGCACCCTGCAGTGCCTGCCCCCCCCACAGCAAAGAGTCACTAGGCCCCAAACGTCATAGTGCCCAGCTCAAGAGAGGGCTGTCACCCGCCCACGAGCTCGGCATCCCCCACACCGCGCGCTTCTTGGTGGCCCTACTCAGCCCGCGGTTATTCAGCTGCCCGTAACGATGTGTTCGGTCTGACCCCGTCCCCACATCGGACGCTCCGCGCTTTGTTCCCCACTATGCACAGCTGGTAATGTCACTGCTTAATAAATGTCCACTCCCATTTATTCTCCGGTTTCTGATCTACCTGGGCTCACTTCGGAAACAATCTGAAGGCCGTGTGACAGAGAAAGTACGAGAAAGCGTGACTTTCCCACATTACAGATTTACATTGCACATGAGGAGCATTATTGCATTTCGCCCACGAAATCAGAGCAGAAAACCCGAAACCAGCATCTGAACTTCCAGCCCTGACTGAGGCTAATTTTTCATTGTCCTTGAAGCTAATCAAGCCCGCGGAAACAGCATCACCAAATTGACTAAATGAGATTTTCAATTAACTCAAACAGATGGCTTAAATTTTCCAGGTGACTTTCCATATTAATTCAGTGAGCTTGCTGGACCAGGCCCCGGGAGGCCTGGCAGGGATGGGGGCTGAGAGGAAAACAATGAAATACTGGATCTTTAGGAGAGAAGACAAAGCAATAACCTGAACTGTTCTTCTACCCCCGCAAAAGCATTATCAGCCAAATCGATTCAACGCCTCCCCCTTCCCCGCCGGCCAGCACACACGGAGGGCCCTGGGAGCCCCAGGACTGGCTCTTGGGGGCCAGATTCATTAGCCTCTGGGGACACTGCGACTCTCTGACACAGAGGAGACCCATCCCGGGCAGGAGACAGGCAGTGAGGAGCGATTTATATTTATAGAGCACAGAATTCTCTGCTTGGTCTGCCTGCCCGAGGACCTCCGCATTTTACTTTCCCCCGAGCAGGAAGTTGGAAGAACCTCCATGGAAGTCTGCATAGGCTCAGGCTTGTGAGGTGTGGGCAGACGGGTCTTACTAAGGAAGTCACCGTGGGAGAAGACCACATCATTCACAGAAGACCAGCAGTGCCAAGTGCCCGAGCACCAGGCCCCGGGGAAGGCCTGTGGAGACGCCGGAGTGGATGAGGCCACGGCTCCTGCCCTTCCAGAAGTTGCCGGAAGCCACTAATAAGGTGGAGTTCTGAAACTCATAGTAAAAGCCTGAGCTAGAGTTATGGCAAAATTTGGGGTGGGTGTCTGCTGAGTCTCAGAATGCATCATTGTCGGCTTCACTGGGCCCTTTTCTAGGCTTACGGTCTGTCAATGAGAGGGTCCCGGTGCCCGCACACTGGGGTCCTCTTTTTTCAGTCTCCCATCAATACCCACCCCACAGAGAGCTTGAATGGTGATGTAAGTGGGCTCTGGAAGTATCCTCGGTCCCCAGGCTGTTTGGACTCTGGGACAGGATGAAACTGATGTCAGAGTCCACTTCACTTAGATCTACTCCATTGTTTTGATTAAACAAACAAACAAAACTACCCAAACCAGACGTTAATGATGACAGGACAGTTATCTTTGTCAAACTGTTCTACCACCTCCACGGGTTAGCTTACCAACTAGGAGATGTGGCTTATTGGAATAGGATTCACCACCGGTTCCTGGAGCCAGCAAAGTGTAGAAATGTTCTAAACTAACGCTCTTAAATGGGGCGCCATTTACAGAGCATCCAATGACGTGGACTTTCTGGGTGAAGACTGCATGTGTTCATGCAGCGGATGTTCTGCAGCACCCACCTGCGTGAGACAGTATGCCCAGCTGGAGCTGTGCAGCTGGCCAGACATGCCCCTTCCCAAGGAGCCTGGCCTTCCGGGGAGCGTAGTCTGCTCCCGATTAAGGTGAGCAATAGCAGGGCTGGTTTGAACGATGTTCCTTCACAGAAAACTGAACCATGAAGCAGTCACGAAAGCTTTAGAAAGTGTTACCTTTTTCTTGGATGTTTAAATTAGCAGCAAAATAAATCTGGAAGGACCATGTAAATGAACATTCATCTCATTTTTTTTTTAACATAACAGAGAAAAGGAAGCAGACCTCATCCGTGGATCATCGGGTGGCATCATCTCTAGATCGTGGGTGGGTCCATTTAAGCCAATGACGTGCAGGGAAATGCTGGGGTTTTCACATCCAGCCTGGGAAGTAAAGGGGAGGAGACGTGAGTAAGGGCTCCTGTGGGGCGGTGTCTTCTTGCTGCGAATTCCTCCCCAGGGGATGCACGGGCAGGACTCTGGGGCTCAGGACTCCTGAGCAACCCTGGCTGAGAGCAGGTCACTCATGCACAGAACCTTACAAAGGGCAAGAGATAACTGGACCAGTGCCCTTCCTTCCCCAGGAAGCCTACCCCCTCCTCATTCCTCCTAGTGCCTCCTGAGGGGGAGGGGAAACTATGGGAGGGGGAGAAGGAACTGGACAAGGAGCAGGAGAGGAATTCCTGGAGGCGATACCAAGAGGTGGCGTGCTGACGGCGAGGCACACGGCGGAGAAGGCTGGTGAATGCTGGCCGTGGCCCAGCAGGGGTTGGGCGGGAGGGAAGTCCCTGGAAAAGGAGCTGGGTGGGTTCTGCTCTGCGTCACTGCTCCCCCCCCCACCGTGCTCCCTCTTCTAGGGGAAGAGCACCGCTAGGAAGGGGAAGGGGAAGGGGGGGGCATTCTTCGTCAGCGGGACCGCTGGGTCTCGTGGACTCTCTCGCTTCCTCTGCACCCTGCACGCAGACATGGCAGGTTCGCCACCACAGGACAGGAGTCCGGCGGGGCCACCAACTCATGCCTCTGATTTGGGAGAGGGTACCATGGGGCAAGTGACACCTCAATTCTGGGCATTCTCTTGGCTAGCATAGGATGCTTTTCCATTAAAATATGAACCACCTGGGGTCTCATAATTCCAATTCACCCATCCCAGACTTCACTGGAAAACCACTGGAAAATCAAGATGGCTTTTGGGCCATCACTCCTAAATTGGGGAACCTCCCGTAAAAGGGTTCACTAGGGAAACCACTGCATCCCTGGGTGGTTAGAGGGGCCAGGCGGCCATTGCCACACTGTGTGTGTGGGGTGGGGAGTAGAGGGGTCCAAAGATTCGGCATTATTTAACGGTTTCCAACTAAAACTCTGGATCTTCCACATGATGTAGAGTTAAGTCCAGTCAACACCAGCTGAAAAAGGAGTGAGAGAATTCTGTCCGCAGGCAAACCCGTGTGGTGTGTTATCTTAGATGCTCCCAGAATGGCCGACAATGGCCGTGTCCCCAGAGGAGGCCTGTTCCTCCACACGGGGCCTCCCTGGATACTGGCCACACCAATCAAAGAGCTGTGGACTGAATGCCTGTGTCCCCCACCTCCCAAATCCAAAATTCCTGTGTCGAAGCCCTGAGCCCCAGTGAGATGGTATCTGGAGGTGAGGCCTTGGGGAGGCGATTGGGGTTGGTGAGGTCATGAGGGTGGGGCCCCAAGATGGATTCGCGCCCTCATATGGAGAGACAGAAACACCAGAGCTCACTTGCTCTCAGCTGTGTGAGGACACAGAGGGAAGGCAGGGTCTGCAAGCCAGAAACACAGTCCTCCCCAGAACGCCACCTTCCTGGCACCCTGATCTCAGACTCTGAGCCTCCAGGACCGTAAGAAGTAAATGTCTGCTGCTACGGAGCCCGAGGTGACTGTACCTCCAGTGTTCCCTTCTCTGGCCCGGGGCTCATGCACCTCACTGGCCTCCCTTGTCCCCCACTGCCCCTCCTGCTGCAAACTGCAGGCTGGCGTGTCTTGTCTTCCCTGGTGCACAAGGCACCTGGCATCAGCTCTTAGAGCCCTCCAATGGCTCGGAAGCCAGGGCTCAGTGCTCGCTGGCAGAAGCCTGAGGGATCCTTCCGAGGTGGCCCAAGGCGGGAAGTGAGCGCCTGGCACCAGGCTGGTGCAGGCAGCGAATGGCTCGCCTCCACCCGGCCCCCGGGCCCCGGCATGGTTTAGTGAAGCCAAGGGGCAGCAGGGCAGCTGCATCCACTCTGTCAGACATCAGCGTCTCTCCAGTTGAGTGGGCTGCAGAAAATTTGGCATCAGGTCCTCCCTTCGTGCCAGGATGCTGCGATTCGCTAACAAAGCAAGGTTTAGATGTTTGTACCCCCTCCACACTCCACTGCACCCTTGCTGTTCTGCAGGCTCTCTGGGCCAACAACTTGGCCTGGGAAGCAATCAGAGACTCCAGGTCAGAATAGGACCAAGCACAAAACAGCCCAGCCCGGACCCAGGGGACCAGGGGCAGACAGAGATCCCTCTGACCTCCCAGAGCCAAATTCTAAACTAGGGATTTGAGGACAGGGTGCCCCAGGAGGAGGCAGGGTGGATTGTTGTTTCCATGGAATCATAAGTGGAGGTAATGTATTTATTTTGGTTCCAATGAAGCTCAGACAAATGATTCACGGTCGTTCAGTTATTTAAAATAGAATAAACCTGCCAACAAATTCAGCTCCACAAAGATGGGCATTTAATGCAACGTAATGGGAAATACTGACTCTTGCCTCTGTTGACCACATTGCTTAGAACACGTCTGACTAGACAGCCCCACGTCTGGAGTCGCCCGGGGCAGGGCTGTGGATGGACAAGGCAAAGCATTTGCTCTACTGTTTCCTCCCACCTACCTTGGGGTAGTGGTAGGGCTTCACCGTGGGGTAGATGGAGCCGGTGTAGGTTGGGAGCTCCATGATGGGCACGCGGGAGTCGTTGATGGTGGCGTAGGCGAGCCTTGTGCCATCCGGAGACCACCAGTGGGCGATGTGAGTCTTCAAAATCTCCTCTACGGGAAAACAGAGTGGAGAAATGTAGACAGACGACACATGGGGGGGGGGGAGCAGGGCTGTGTGGGCATGTCTGGGAGCGGCCAGCACATCAGGCATTCCCTCGGGGACATGGATCTTCTGCCACTTTTGAGTGGTCTTCACTGTGCCTGGATATGTCTTCATTCCCTGGGGGCTCAAGAGATGCCCGGTGCTGACCACCGAGCCCCAGTGAAACCCAATAAATCAAGGTCCACCTGAACAGAAGCTCATGGTCTGGAAAACTTTATTTTTATTTTGCACACATTTGAACACTCTGAGCCCAACACATACTTTTTGAACAGAATTATTGCACCACTGCAGGTTATTATTTTAAGATGCTTTAAAAAGCAGAACAACAGGAAGTCAATCCCCACAGTAGCAGGGCACATCCAGGTAGCACCAAGTGAGAAAGGACGCTGTCTCCAGAAAATCCCAGGTCGGCTTGCAGGAGGCGCCTGGGGACTCACGCCTACACATGCGCACACGCTCCCTCGGGAACAGCTGTGCGGAAGGAGAACGTGTCCAACAGTCAGCACACTCCTCAGCCTTAAAGGAATGATGAATTTCCCTGGCTGTGGCAGAAAAGCAAAGTGGCCCCATCTTCAACGGGGCTGAAGTGCAAATGACAATTTTCACAGGTGCCCCCCACTATTTTGTGTTATCGCAGCCAAGTGTCTTGGCTAACGCGAGTCTTAACTACAGATGAGTTTTGTGGGATCTGCTATCCACTCCAGAAAGAACAGTTCTAGTCCGCTTTCACTCCCCAAGTGTACCAAGTCAGGGTGCTGGGGACCAGAGACCCCAGTTCTTAGGTCAAGGGATTGTCTTTACATGATCTATATGCATTGTCAACGATTTCCTTCCAGATCTGTTTTTAAAGTAATGGTCAATACAATTATAGGATCACGTAATACAAGTCACACCGAACTGGTTGCTCTCAGGTGTGTCCCATACCCCGGCTCCATGTGCCCGTGGTGACAGAGAGGCAGTGGAGGGCCCCAAAATCATGCCGAGAAGATGACCTGAGTGCACGTGACACAAGGGACAACACTGTACGTCGGGACAAGGCAAGGACAGCCGGCCGCAGAGGAAGAGGAACACGGGGGTCAGACGGCCACAGAGTGGACACTGGGGCTCATGGCCCTGTCCTGGGGACCCTGCTGCCACCAGCTGTGGCCAGGTCCAGGCCTGCGAGCGGGGCAGGCTGCAAACCCTTGGGCCTGGGTGTGGGGGCTGCCTGAAGGCGCAGATGTTCCTCCCCCGGGCTCACTGGCCTGGTCTCTCGGGTGGAGGAGGCCCAATGCCTGCGCCATTCTCCCTGAAAACAGCTCCTCCCTGCCTTGCAGGTGCTTCCTCCAGGCCGTCAGCCCCCCTGGCGGAAGCCCCCACTCAAGGCAACGCGGGCTTGCTACTCGGCTGCTCACCAGATGGCTGAGTCTCGCCCAACACCCAGCACTCCTGTCCCCCGCATGCATCCCAGGTCTGAATGCAGGGCTTAGTGCACAATAGGTGAAGGGCCCCAGAGTCCTTGGTTTTAGCCTCTGTCCACGGAGGGCACGGCCGCCGCCCCGAACAGCCCCACCTCCCGTGTCCTGTCATCTCGGGGCAGCCCGCGAAAGGGCTCAGAAGCTTTTCCAGAGCCCACAGAGGCCCAAAGGTCTCCTGAGGTTAAAAACAAAAGAAAAGGAAGAAGGCTGCCTCTCCAGAGCCTGTAAGTTTCCAGCGTCTCTGGCAGCCGGCAAAGTGACTTTCAGGTGTGAGTTTGCAGTGAGGTGATTCAGAAGTGACTGCAGAGCCACCTGACTCCTCTGCTTGGCGCCGTGGAATGGTGAGTAATAGACTCCAGCAGATGGTCTGACGGAAAAAAATAGGCACCATTTGCAATGCAATTTGTGGGTGATTCTGCTCAATCACTTCCACGCTGCAGGGCTTGGGGGAGGGAGCCAATCAAGGCAAGTGGAATCACAGAGAGGGAGCGAAATTGAAGGGGCTCAGGGAAGGAGGCAGAGTCTGCCCGAAATCAGCGGTTTTCACAACACGTGAACTCACGGCCAGCTCTGGATTCTCCCCGTAGGGAAATGGCTGGCTGCGCAAAGGCTTTATAAATGAAGAAGGTTTTCATAAAAACAAACACCAGCACGACCCCTGCAGAGATGCTTCTGTTCTTCTCTTTGGGCCCAGAGCAATCCCCTAAAACGAGAGGGATGGCACCACACCTACGTCAGGCCCCCAGTGCTCAGTGCCGGGGCGGGGCGCAGGGCGGGGCGGAACCAGCTTCTCACTGCCCCCCCCCCGCCCCTTCTGTGCATCCTGCTTCCAGACTCGCCCTCAGGAGAGAGAATGAATATGCGGTGAAGGCCTGGCCTGATTCTGGGCAGAGAGTCATCTGTTTCTGTCCATTCCATCAACAAATGCCAGTGTCTTTCACTAAGTTCAATGCGCCGTGCAGAGACTTTGGATGCCAAAAAGGGTCACTTCACACTATAGCATGTGCTGGGCAGAAGGTAACTCAGAGACTACATAGTACAGGGATGACAAGTATCTGGCGTGTGTGTTGGCAAATGTTAGTTCCTTTCGATTCCAGCCGATGGCGGGACGATGGACAACGCCGGGCTGGGCCACACACGCCTGGGGGCGGCGGGGTTGCAGCCTACTTTCCCCAAAGGCCCTTTAACACACTGCTCCTTGGCATTTTTATTTTTCTGTGTGTTAGTTGCTCAATAAAGAGATAATGAAGTATAAGGAACTGAGGGGAGAAGAGCCGGGCAGATGAAATGTCGGCATTTTTGTGTTAATTATGAATGTCCCTATTCTGCAAACATTTTCTTCAGGATCTCCAGCTTAGTGAGGCAGTTGGCTTAAATGCCATGAACTGAATGCAGCTTCGGGAAAGAGTTCTGCAGAGGGAAAAAAACGATCTCACCAGCTGAATTAATTGCATGAGCCCTTGCCTTGCAACAGGACAAGAAGCTTGCCCTTCTGAGCGAGTACGAGTAACTTGCAAAACTGGACACTGGACCTTGCTTTCACCTTGCCTGTCCTGTCCAGGGACCATTTTAGATTCAAACAAGAAAAATACATTTGGAGCCATTAACTAGTCACGACTGCCCCTCCTGTCAAGGGGTGAAAGGCTCTATCCATGCGCTGAAGCTCCTAGTAGGATATGGGCCAATGTTCCTCACTTCTTGTCACCGTATCTTAAAGAAGCCAACTCCACTAAGTGAATGTTATTTACTTATGACAAACAATGTTGAGGGCTTATCCGGAAGGACACAATCTCTTTGGGCTCAAGGTGATAAAGGCCAATCGGGCAAAGAAGAGGAATTCTCACGTATTCCCGAGTGTTTGACAGGTGCAGCATGAGAGGGGACCCCACATGGTTCCATGGTGGGAGCCTGGCGTCACTAGGCTGTTCTCAGGAGAGCACATGGGAGTGGTGCACACTTTTCAGTACAGATGCTGTGCTCCACTCCAGGCAGAACAATCTGTATTTGCTGGGGTTGGGGTCGGGGGTGGGGAGCGCACAGGTGTCTTTTCTGCAAAAGCTCCAGGAGTGGCTTTGGTGTACATTTTGGTTAGGAATGACCAATTTTAGGCGCCTGGGTGGTGCAGTCGGTTAAGTGTCTGACTCTTGGTTTCAGCTCAGGTCATGATCTCGGGGTCCTGGGATCGAGCGCCCCCATTCCCCCTACCCCCGTTGGGCTCGGTGCTCAGCTGTCTTCCTCTCCCTCTGCCCTCCCCCCTGCTCCCTCTCTCTGTCTCTCAAATAAATAAATCTTTAAAAAAAAAAGAATGACCGATTTGACCAATACACTGTATCTGATCAAATAAGTGTTGTATTTTGGAACTGTAGGCATTGGCTTTATCAGTATACGTGACATATGCTTCCAAATTATTTGTAGCGGTATACCTTATCGAACAGGAGAATCACAGGTTCCCCTTAAAGGTGTGTGGTGGTTGAACTGTGGGCCCCTCACATACGATACAAAGGGATATGCTGCATCCTAATCCCTGGTAACTGGGAATGTGACCTTATTTGGAAACAAGGTCATTGCGGATGTCATTTAGATGAGGTCATCCTGGAGGAGGGTGGGCCCTAATGCCATCTGACTCGTGTCCTTATAAGGAGAGGAGAAGAGCCACAGAGACAGATGGGGACGATATCCTGGGAAGGCAAAGGCAGAGGCTGAGGGGTCCTCTACAAGCCAAGGGACGCCAAGGGCTGCCAGCCAGCAGGACCTGGGAGAGACAAGGCAGGATTCTACGCAGAGTCTCGGAGGGAGAACGGCCCCGTGACACCTTGATTTCAGACTTCCAGCCTATGGAACCGAAATAAAACATTTCTGTGGTTTAAAGCCACCCAGGATGTGGCATTTTGTTTCGGTGGCCGCAGGAAGGTTATGACTGGCTCTGCCTACGCCGGTCGCCAGACAGCCAGCCCCACGTCGGGAGGATGTGCACTCCTGAGTTAGGGGCTCCAAGGCAGCCAAATTCTTCCCTGAAACTCAGTGGGCGGCATTTCTGAGTCAGACCTGCCCAGCAGGGGTGCTGTACCATTTATGTCGCCCGAACAGCGGGTGGGGCTGCCAGTGCCCCTGCTTCCCCGGCGTGCACACGTGTGCGCAGGTCTGACACTGCGTGTGCTGGGCTGGGCCCCACTCGCCCCCCACACTTCCCCCTCCGGCTCTGAGGTTTCCAGCCTCCAACAGGCCGATGGGGTTGGCTTGTCTCCGCTACATGCTGGGTACTTGCCGTCGTGGGACCATGCACCCCGGTCAGACGTGAGAACATCCTCTTGTGTTTAACAAATACCCATACAGTGAAATTTGTGTGCCAGATGCTGTTGTAAGTACTTTACACACAACTCAATCCTCCTACAGCTTCACGTTTAGGTAAATCGTTCTTAGACTTAGTCACCTGCAGTACAAAGCGCCAGTCTGGGCCCCCCTCTCTGGACACGGTGTGTTTGCCACCAAGC